ACCCCCCCCCCCATCCCAAACCATCTCTTCTAGTTTTTTTTCCCTGCTGGCGTTTGCTGGTCAGCAATAATCAAAAACCACTTTCTGTGGGCCGGATTAGTTTAGCCTACCCCCCCCTCTCTCTCTCAACGCCCCCCCCCCCACACTCTCCCTTCTCCAGCTTAGCCCACTGGACCAGGGCGATGTGCATGTGTGTGCGTGTGTTTGTTGTGGGGGATGGGTTAGTTGTGCAAACGTGTACGTTGCAGGTTGCATGCACATGCATTGACAGAGGTGTGGGGGTGGTGGTGTGTGTGTGTGTGTGTGTGTGTGTGTGTGTGTGGGGGGGCGGGGGTGTCTTATCAGGACTCTGCTTCTGGAGACAGACGCACAGTAGCAACGATTGCTTTTATACACACTAACATGAACGCACACACACACACACACACACACACACGCCTCAACAAAAGGGCCTGGCAGTAATGTGATAATGCCAGGGTTAGCGGTTAGCCAGCTAGCACAGTGTAGTTTTGTTTTGGAGGAGGAACAGCATTTAATGAGACCTGCTGCTAACAGCTAGAGGAACACCTCCCGATCAGACGGCCTCACTATACGCACCTTTAAGAGAGAATAATGGACGAACACGGGAAACACGTACACAGTGAATGCAAAGACGTAAAAGTAGAGCTAGATTATTTAACAGCCAATAGTCACAGTGGACGATCCAGCCATAGACTGTATATGAGAAGTGGACGTAGTCGTCGAGATGTCACCCGTTGGTTTGTGGACTGATGTTTGGAAGCCTCGAGTTCGGCATTTTGCCCGTCGCCATCTTGGGGTTTTGCAACCGGTGAGCAGAAGTGACCATATCTGGACTGAGGAGGAGTGACGTAGAGACGCCGTACACGTCTCTGGTAGAGACCTGTCAATCACTGTGTAGCCCCGCCCTAAAGCATCCCCTGCTTTATGGTCTGTTTGACTCTAAATGGACCATAATGTACTAAATGAACATCATGCTGTATTGAAGAAGACTTGAAACTAGAGATTGAGACCATAAACTCATGTTTACAATGTTTACTGAGGTAATAAATCAAGAGAGAAGTAGAGTCATTTTACCATGTTTATAATAGATGTTTTCATGATAAACATTAATCGATGTCGCCTTTTAAAAGAACATGTGACTGAATTGTATTACTTGTATTTCAGTACCTGATAAAACATGAAAAAAATACGATAAAAAACCTTTTGGAAATGTTGGACAGCGATACGTTAACACGTTTCTTCTCTGGCTCTACTTTCTCCATCACTGCATTTCTACTGTACCTTAATTTCAGAGAGAGACAGTTTCTCTGTTCGCCTGCCGGTCTCTGGGGAGTCCTGGTTCTTCTGGTTGAGGTGGACTGCAGCCACTTGGCTCTGCTCCAGGAAGGATAGCAGAATCAGCCTATCGCTGAGCACCGCTGGGAATGACATCACCATAAATGTCACTGAAGACAAACAAAAACAACGGCACGTTGACGAGTTCACCGTGTCCTTAAATATCAACACCTTCCATCTGTGTTTTTATGAAAAACATGAAGCCTTGAATCAGGATACAGGAAGCAATCTAAATAAAAGGAGAACAAACATTCATGGATGGATTAATTGGTCAATGTGGGACCCAGAACTTTAACTTTCATGGAGACTACAATCTCAGAATCTTACATTTAAGAGGAATGAATTCACCGTTTGAGTTTATAGAATTACAGTTACTGGTTCTCCGGTGCCTAAAGTTGTATTTTCAATTGCTTCATATCCCTAAAAACTACACAACCTAAGCTCAAAGGCTTTGTAAGTCATTATAATTCATACAAGTATTGAAATTGTGTCATTAATTAGAAATATACAAAAATCTTGACATCAGATGTGACTAAATAAAACACACAAAGCATGTTGATCCATAAGATTTCTAAATGTAGAGACATGAACAAAATACCCATGAGTTATTTGAGTTATGCACGTTTTCAGAGTAAAGGTATCGATAGTTTCATCTGCAATATAAAGTATTTCCTCAGTGCCTGCATTGGTATTTGTTTGCATAATTACATGCTGCACATAATGTCATCACGAGTCCATAACGCTGGCGACGCAAAAGGCAGAAGCCTCAGCTTTCCACTGCAGAAGAAAGAATGCTGAAGCTGTGATGATGTTTCATTTGAAATGGATTTAAACAGCATCATGCAAACAACAACCTCCCGCAGTCCGTTGTTAAAGGGTTGAAAAAGGTTTAGTCGTTTCTAACTGTATTCACAGTGTTGAATGGTCTCCCCTGGTGAACATTTCATCCTCACTTTTGAGACTGTGATTTGGTTGTGTACTTTTATTTTGAAGGTTCTGTGTTGGAGGCTCCATCCCTCACTGGATAACTGATAAAGATTATATATAAGAGTAATGTATAACTGCGTTTTCCACATATTCTGTAGATTGATTGACTGAAGGACGCTCAACATTCACACAGTTGATGGAAACATAAATTCACGTAGTGGTTTCATGGAAACACAGCAGAAGTTTTACGGCAATAAATCCTGTGTTTTCTGTGTTTCGTGAATCTTTTTGTTGCTCTTCTGATGGGAAACAACATCAACAAGCTCTTTTCTCTGACGTCTGTGCACTCGACAGTGACATTTCTATTCTGATGTTTTCTAAATGTTCCCCTCGATGTTTTTACGTCATTTTACTGCAGAAAACATTTATCATTTCCCCCGTCGTACCCGTAGTATTTAGTTTTGATTAGTTTGGAGTGGGAGGACAGAAGTGTCGGTCTTTGTCCCTCTCTCCTCTCTCTTACTTTTTCTTTCCCCGTCACTTAATTTCGTCTGCATCCTCTCTTCTCCTCTCTGCTGCTTCCTGGATTCTTTGTAGAGCACTGGAGGCTCTGAAGGCCTTTTTGTGGTAGAAGAACACACTTGATCCTGTTCAACTCTTCAGGAGCTGCATGGAAACGCCGATTAGCAATTAAGCCCCCCTCTCCTTCAAATTAATCTGTTTATGAAACCAATTAAATGGAAAGGAGGGGGGGGGGGGTTGTTACACATGTCTCTCAGATATCCTGCTTTGAGTTGAACGAGTAAGGCTGCACCCCGAGATTTAGAAATCTAACCGCCAATTAAGCGTGGCGTGTGTGTATTTATAGACGTGTCGGTGTGATTACACTTCAAATCATCCTGTTGTGTGTAAATTTCAAATTAATATGCAAATAGTCACGAGGGGAAGTTTAACGTCGCTTGAAAAATGCAGAAAAACGAGCATCTTAAATCAGGTCAATACAGTCGGTGTGTCCTTATTATTAATAATAAAACTGGTTCAAAGCTTAAACATTTACAGCCATTAACGAAGCCTCGGCTTTCCGAAACAACGTTTTAATGCAATAGTAAGCGCCTTTGTTCTAGATTACAGACAAATCAAGTTAAAAGTAGTTTTGTATTGATCTCTATGGGTGTCTATGAACGGGATTAGGTTTAATCCCGTTCATTCCCAAATGAAGGAGGGGATACGAAAACCAGACTGTGGCCCAATCTGGGACCAGGTGGCTGATTTGGCATTAAGGGCCAGACCTTCATGACCCACCCCAATACACGGTCCAGACACACACACACACACACACACACACACACATTCATATTTACCCTCTAGACACACACACACACACACATGCACAGATTGCGACATTCATACATGCAAGCCTGCAACCATTCTTTATACATTCTCAGTTACACACACACCCACAAGCATAAAATAAACCCACCACATGTTACAGCACACACACACATTCTCTCTCTCTCTCTCACACACACACGGTCGCCTAAATCCATTTAATGCCATCTCCTCAGCAGCATGTTGACATAAGAGGCCAATGGGCTTAACCAAAGCACATTTAAACACGGGTAAATGAAACCGGCTATGAAAAATCACTTAAGGATGCTTAATCGCGGAGCATATGCGCAGCTTGGCCCAGCCGTCGGCCAAAGGCAGCCGGTAATACTTTGATGGCGTAAAATATGTGTAATCTGCCGCTCCGACTGATGCAATCGGAGCTCTGGAAGGTAACCAGTAAAGTTTAAGAGAGGAGCCAGCTTCGTCACAAAAACAGATCTGGCTGTCGTTGCTTGTTGTCTCTGAGGGACAAACACGCAGCAAGGCCTCACATTCACATTCACATGAATCCATGAAAGAGGATTCTCTTCAGCATTCAGATACTGCAACCTTTTTATGAAGTTGACAAATCCTGTTCCAGAAAAATGGAAAAAACGAATTCACCGTCTGTGACTTACATTTGAATTCAAGATTTGACGAGAGCTGAAAACGAGTGAGACATCTCGCGTTCTTCTCTTCTTTGCTCAGAGCTGCACATGCTCAGTAGCGATCGGGCAGGTGGTGTGTTCATGTTTTAAGAAGGGTTTCACTTGAGTCAGGCCTTAAAACAAATGGCAGCAATCCCGTCACATCCACACAGGTTCAGTATAAGGTGTCAGTCGGCAGAGCGGGTCGTTTATAGCCACGAGGTTGGCGGTTCGATCCCCGGCTCTTACTGTCTGCATGTTGAAGCTCACTGCTTCTTAATGCTTTGGATGCCACATGCAGAGCTCAAGTGTCATGCAGGTAACAATTGTAATAAAGTTTATATTTTTGTTTTAATAACGCACAGATATCGGATCCGTACTCGGTATCAGCAGATACGCAAGTTCATGTATCGAAACATCTCTAATCAATGGATTATGAAAATAATCCATTGAGTAGCAACATTTATATGAGACTTTAAAAAAAATGTATCTGACATTGACGTAATTAAATGCATACAGACAACAAGTAGACACTTCTACCGAGCATATGTCACAACACCACACACACACACACACACATACTTTCACCAGTCAAAACTTGACTTTAATTGTAAACTGTTTCCGTAATTGTACGTTGTGAATATGTTTGTCGGTGTGATCTGGTCTGGTACTCTACTCTAATTGTCTCAAACTAATTTAACAAGTGACAGATGTAAGAACAACCCCCCCACCCACCCTAACCCCCAGCAGACACACACACACACACACACACAC